CACCCTCTTGTGTTTCAGCTGAATACATGTGGTTAATTGTCATAGTGAATTAAGTTTGGGCTAGTGAGGGTTATTTAGCGGGCTGGAGGTTGCAAAGGCAACATCGGGATGTGGTCATGAGGAGGCAAAAAAGTTGGACTTTGGTAGAACACAGGGATTTAGAGAAAGAACCCATTCTGGGATTTAGTTGTGCCATACATGTTGAATGAAAGAGTATCCTGGATTTTCCCCAGCCGAGCACTAAGCTGTGGTGGCTACACTAAGATGTCTCAAGCTTCCCATATAGAAGTAAGAGGATAACTTGGAACGGTGTGGTGCAGCACAAATCTTTGACCCAGAATTACCAGTGTCTGACCCAAAATAGATTTAGCTAGGCCCGTGTTTCTGGACAAACTCTCTCCTTAGATAGCTTGACGGCTTACGCCAGCACACAAAACTACTTTTAAAGACAAGGAATGTCGAATCATTCATCGGAGAAAACAGAAGTACAAACTTTCATTTCTTTGTTAAGGGATTTTTCTTTAAATGAAAAGGAGTAATCGCTCAAATCCAATGGCTCTTTTATTTTCAAAAAGCTTCACTTAAGTATTTACAGTTTGTGCAAAAACATTTAAAGGTTTCAAGGACTTTACATTGTAAGTTCAACCTCAAGGCACATACATGGAACAACATCAATATTTCATCATGAGAACAGAAATTTAACTTTGGTTCCTAAGAAAACGTCCTGGTGTGGATGGCTAATGTAACACTGCGAGGTGTTTCAATGGAGGAGCCAGAATGGCAAAGTATCCCAACACAGCTGTTTTACATGCACTGTAAATTTCCTGCCTACTTCCTCTAAACCAAATGAGAACCTTTCTGCCATGGTTGCTCATACTGTATCTCAACCACCACATGGGGTGATTGCCTGGGAAAAAAAGACTACGTTAAAGTCCAAAACCTGGTGTGAAAAAAAGAAAAAAAAAAAAGAAAAAAAAAAAAGGCTACTAAGCTAAATACAGTACATGCAAAAAACCTTGAATGAGTGTCACTGGCTAAGAGCTATTTGCCGTGAAGGTTTTGCCTACAGGAAGAAAAGATGACTTTTGAACGTATTCAGTTTCAACCTCTCGTTCGTGTGTTTTTGTCTGAATTGGATCTCAGTGATTAAACATAATTATTTCAATGGGAATCAATGAGCTTTAAGGGAAATTACTTCTCGGCACCCTGAAACAGTAATAAACTGACGCTAGCAGTCTGTAATACATTTTGTGTAATTCCATTGGTCACGGCGCTGCAGCCGCATTCTTTCATCAAGCAAGTAGAAAATTAAGAGTAATGTACGCTGCAAAGCTCCTTCCCCAGTCTTGGTTGAATCATTATCCGTGCACCTCTTAAAGTCTGGCACCATGGATGAACAGTCTCTCATTAGCTACTGTGTGTCATGCTTAGTGTTGTTCTCCCTGTTAATACTGTTATTGTTGCTGCCGTGGCTGCAATCTGTTGGAGATATGTGCTTTCTGTTCTGCTGTCTCCTTGTGTCTCGTCTTTTCCGCTGCTCCACCTCCTCCTCCTCCTCCTCCTCACTAGATAATCATTCAGTCCAGCATAAAAGGTAAGGCAAATATCTGTCTCCATTACACATTCACAGACAGGGGAGATACTATATGTTGCAATAGTTTTGACCTGACTTGTCAGCATGTGACCTAAAGATAGGGCTTTCATCTATAGCAAAAAAAAACAAAACAAAAACCAAAGTCTAAACAATATCTGATGTAAATGTTCAAGTGTTTCGGCGTGGGGTTTGGGGGGAGGGGTCATGGTCAGCTGGTGCAGCATGTAGCAAACCACACACATGATGAACTGTCGGTAGGTTATAGATGCTCAATCAGTCGGCTTCATGATTGTTAAGCAGGGTAGATCAAAGCGCAGGTCAGGGCAGCCTGGTGCATCTGTGAGTAGTGGGTGTGCTGATATGTGGATATTAGTAGAATAAAAAAAGTGGAGATGCTTTGATAACCACAGAGGATCTCAGTACTAATAAAACCCAACATGAAAAAATTCCATCCAAACAAGTCATGTAATAAAGTGTTTAGTCTTAAAACCTTCTTTTGCTTCAAACAAATGTTCATAATTTACTAGGGGAATGAGATCATTAATTTTGTTGCAATGCAAATTAATTTATTTTAGGATTTTTTTTTTTCACTTCAAGAAACAGTTTGACATTTTGCAAAAAAAAAAAAAAAAACCCAGACACATTCACTTTTTGCCAAGAGTTGAGAGAAAAGTGATTCCACTCTCATGTCTGTATGGTAAATATGAAGCTGTTAGCCATGAGACAGCTAGTTTAGCTAACCAGGCTCTGTCAAAGAGGAAACAACATCTACCGACTAGCATTTTTAAAACTGACAAATCCATACAAAAACCAAAGTGTAAAGCTGACACATGGTTTTACAGAGAGTTTTCTTACCTTTAAAGCAGAGCCAGCCTCGCTGCTTCCTTCTATTTCCAGGCTTTATGCTAAGATACCTGGCTGGCTATATTAAGCATACAGACATGAGAGTGGTATCCATTTGCTCATCTTCTCAGTAAGAAAGTGAATGAAAGCATTTCCAAAAATGACAAACTATTGCTTTAATAGTTTCCTGGATAACAGAGATTTTGTGTTTTTTTTTTTTGATATACTGCCATTTAAATAAATCCATCTCCAAAAACTGGGTGAAAAAAAATATGTCAGTTGTCTTATTAGAAACAAGATTTTAAGACATAAAATTACAGTTAAGACAGAAGATTTAACTAATTCACTGTTTGTTGGCTCGTTTAATCGTTTAAACGTTGGGGCTGAGGACGTCTCTGCATCCCCTCAAATTAAAGTCCATGTGGTCGTGAGCTGAGCTATTGCTGGAATTACAGTAAGTGCAGTTACTTCTGATATACTCCACAGTACCTCAAAAGTAGAGGTAAATCCTCTCAAGAGATAATCTCGACACTCCGGAATAACTCAAGTACAAGCCCTTACAAATCGTTTGACTGTAAATGTTCGGCCTTTGCTGCGTACGTCCAAGCAGCTGAAACTTGCACGCCTCACAAAGAGTTAACACACTCTCCTTCCCAGCATGAGCTCCACGCAGCCAAGTGAAAATAAGGACTACATATTTTTCTCCCTTTTTTGGTCGAGGATTATGAAGAGAGGGGGGAAAAGAAAAAAGGGGGAGCGGAGGGGTCGGCGGTGGGAATTCTTTAAGCCTGGCCCCTCAAAATAAAATCTTGTCAAATCAAATAAAGTCTCCTTAAGAAGTGCATAATGAAGACCTCTCACTGGCACCTCACATGCAAAGAGCTGCCACCACGGCCGGTGAGCTGAAGGGCAGGAAAAGTGTTTTAATTGAGCCCATGCAGGGATCAAGAGGTGCAGGGACAGACAGGGAGACGGTGAGACGGACAGGGGACAGAAAGACACCGAAAGAGAGGGGAGCGGGGGTGAGGATCATCGCCGTGGAAACTAATGTCGCGAAGTGAGCAGGTGCATTATTCAGGTGCGCAAACGGTAAATGAAGGAGACGGCGTCCTAAACGTAGACAAAAGGATAAATGATGAGATGCGAGATGAGCCGCTCAGTCACGACTGTGCACCGCGAGGATCATGGGCGGAGCGCGATCTTATTGTTGTAATTTTCTAATTTATCAAAAAGCCTAATGAACGCTGGGACAAGGCTGAAATAAGTGGGTGTATAATTAGCATAATGTGTGTGTCTTCTCAAAATTCATCATGCTCTCAACACACACACACACACACACACACACACACAGAGGAGCAGAGACCTCCCCCCATGATAGACCACAGTGGTGAAAAATCCATACAATTTAGCCACCAAACACAGAAAACACCGTTAGTTTTAAATGATTCCACATCATCAGGTTGGTCGATGAGCAATAATACTCTAAAACAATGCTGCTTGGGCATGAGTAATGTCGTCTGGGTAATAGACTCCAGGGGAATGGTGGTGGTAAAGTGATCTCTCTGTCTTGCCCTCTGTTCCTCTGTCCCACACATGACGCTGAGGGAAACTGCCCCCTTGTGGCCTCACTCGCCAAAACAGGGAAAACAGGCAAAAAAAAAAAAAGGCAAAAGAAGCAGAACAAATTAGGGAATTTCTTCCAAAAGGATCTGCATGTCTCAGCACATCCACGCACCTCATTAGGGACAATAATCCTTTGTTGCTTTTCAGGCTCATGTTAATAATTGCACCTCATCACTACAGAAAACAAGTGTGGTGAAAATGACATATCCTTTTTCCAGAGTTTTCCAAAAGCGTCTCTTGACTAAGCCCACCTTTGTTCCACTGTAAACAACAGAACAAAGGTGCTTTTAGTGTTAAGGCACTTTTGGGAAATCTCAGCCAACGACATTCCCCCTACACAACCGGCCGCAATCCCTCGCACGTGATCACCACCTCTGTTCATTTCCTGCCTTGCTTCCATTAATAAGAAAGTGCACTTCAATTCTTTTTTACAACATGCCACCAGTGAAGCAGTGCTTTATTTCCACAGCGCTCTAATCAGCAGTGTTTGGATTTCCCCTGTGCTGTGTTGTCTTTACCACTGTTCTGTTGTACTGGGGAGTGTTTGCAGTGTGTCAAAAAAGGCCATATTTTTGCTTCTGTGGTTAGCAAAGGATCCCAGCCCTCTAAGCGCCCCAACGTTTCCAAGGCTGACAGCGTTCGTCAGAAGCTACACCCAGGGTGCCGTGATTGTACAAATCCATGTTCATGTACAGTACTGACCATTAAAACAACTTTCAAAACCCTGCTGAATATAAAAAAAGAAACATTTGTATCTCTTTTTCCTAAGAATAAAAAAGATAGCAGAGAATCCCACATTATTATCCACAGTATAAATTACATTGTAGACAGAACTTGGAAATATATATAGTACAGTTATATTTCACTAGAACTTTTATGTTTTTTGTTGTCTACACAAACAGTGTATGTGTGTGTATTTATGCATGTATTGTGTCTGGTGTGTGTGTGTGTGCGCGTGTGTGTGTGTGTGTGTGTGTGTGTATGTATAAATGCCGCTGTACTGTTTGCTGCTGCATCACGTGTGGCAGAACTCTGTACTGGGCACGTTGCTGCTCTTGCAGTAGGCTATACTGTTGTTACTGAGGTGACAGTCTCTAAATCCAATGCCCCCGTTGGGCGTGTAGATGGGCTGAATGCGGAAATCTCCCTTGAGCAGCTGCTCATTGTTCAGCGCCACTATCTGGAAACTGGTCTCAGTCATCTCCAGAATGGAGTTATCCTTCTTGGTTCCAGCCTCACAGTAGTCGTCTTTTCTCCTGCCCCGGTTGTATTTCCACTTTGTCGAAGACGACCGGCTCTTCCTGTGCATGTGCCAGCAGAACAAGCTGAGCAGCGTTACCAGGATGAGAAGAACTGCCCCACCTATGATCCCAGCCATGAGCAGTGTGGAGTTGATGCTCTCCTGAGGAGCTTGGTCTCTGCCGGGGGGCTTAGTAGACAAGGCAGGCTTGGTCCTGGCCTCGGAGCATATAGTATCCTCTCCGGGCCTGTAGGAGTTAAGGGTGTCCAGAACGTGCACGCAGATCCGATACATGGACCGGGGCTCCAGGTTGGTGAGGCTGATGTGCCGCCGGCCACCGCTCACCGTCCGCTCCCGCATTCCTTCGTTTATTTGGGTTTGGCCCCTTTTGACCCAAGTGACCTTGTAAGCTGTGACGGTGAAATAGGAATCCCAGCTCACCTCGATGTTGGTGGAGTTGACCACGTTGAAGGAGATCTGAAGGGGGTCCTCGTATGGAGGCAGGGGCCCAGGAGGGTTGTTATGGATTGGGGGTAAGGGAGGGGAGGGTGAGTCAAAGTAGTAAGGGATGGATGTGGTGATGACGGTAGAGATCATGGTGGTGACAGGGGTGGTGGTGGGCGGGGGAGGGGGTGTAGAGCGGAGGGTGGGCCAGGGCGGCTGATCGACATCAACCGGACACTCGATAATATCCAGCGTGAGCTCTCTGATTGCCATGCCACGCACCTTGTCTGGACTCAGGCACACGAAGCCTCGGGCGTTGATGGAGGAAGGCAGAGACTTGAGCCACACCACCACCCACTTCACCGCACAGTCACAGCGCCACGGGTTATTGCGCACCATGAGATGCCTTAGGCTCGACAGGCCATCGAACACACCCTGTGTCAGAGTCTGAAGCTGGTTGCTTGAGATATCCAGTTTTTCCAGCCTGTTTAGGCCGGCGAAGGCGGCCACAGGGATCTGGTCGATCTGGTTCTCCTGCAGGCTGAGTTTGACCAGCGACTGGCTGGGCAGGAGGGGAGGGGGGAAGGTGAGCGAATTGCGGGCCAGGGCCAGCTCACGGAGGTTGGCAAGGTCCTGGAAGGTCCCTGGCGCAATGCCCTCATCCGTCAGCAGGTTCCCGTCCAGCAGGAGGCGCTGCAGACGTGTCACATTCTGAAAGGCCTCCTCTGCAATGACAGCGATGCGGTTCTCATCCAACCGCAGCTCCTTCAGGTCCTCGGGAAGACCAATGGGAACGCTGCTTAAGTGGTTCTTGGTGAGGAAGAGGAGTTTGAGGCTTACTGCCTCCCTAAAGGCCCCTTCCTCCACCCCCACTGTGGAGATGGAGTTATCATCAAGGTGCAGCTCCTCTAATTGAGTCAGCTGGGCCAGGGCTGCCTTAGAGATTGTTTGGATATTGTTCTCCTGGAGATGCAGGACCCTGGTGTTTTTGGGCAGATTAACGGGGAACTCGTCCAGCTGGTTGCCGTAGAGAAAGACCGTCTCCACAGAGGCCAGATTGTGAAGTTCCACAGGGAAGCCAGCACTGTTGATCTGGTTGTTATGTAGGTAGAGGACCTTGTAGCCCTCCTCTATCCCCAGAGGCACTGATGTCAGGCTGCGTTCATTGCAGTACACAAACAATTTGTCACAACGACACTCTTCCGGGCAAGAGGCACCCGGGCTGAATTGCATTTGGAGGCTTAGGATGACAGTCAACCAAAATTGCAAGAATGAAGCCCAATCTTTATTCCAAGGTCCAGCCAGAAACTCCATAGTGGAAAAGCAAAACGGGAAAATGGAAACCAACAATAAAAAAAACTGGGTTGGGAAAAAACAAATATGAAAATCAGAAAGGCAGTGACGTAATATATCCACAAAAAACTAGACTCATGAAAAGTCCACCTAGGGGAGTTCAGAAATGATGCAGTTAGCTGGGAAAAGAGCAGGAAACCGTGGGAGTAATCCTGTAAATGCTAGTCCTCAGCTGAAGAGCGATGGTCTCATTAGTGGTGGCCAGTCCTCTGACTGACTCCATCCATGCTGAGACATCAGACCATAGCAGGACTCTTCACTCGTAGCTCCATGCAGTGCTCAGCCAGGGCCAATTTGAAGCCACACAGTAGAGAGCCACCACAGGCTCCACTCGCCTGTCCGTCACACACTGCTGGTCCCCGACCGGGGCAGAGTCCAAGGGGGGTGACATTTGGATCTAGAGACCTGTGGGAAAACAAAGAAATGCTAGATTAGTGTTTTCGGGGGTGGCCTGTTCTCGGAAAAAAGGGCCTCTCTTTCCCCGTCTCCTCTGTCTCTTTATTTGACATACAAACATCCTCACACACACACACACTGTCTTTCCCTCTCTCTCACTCTTTCCTTCTCTCCCAAACAGAAAGACAGTCACAAAACATACCGTTCACTGCCGATTTCACATTATGCGCTGGCTATTTAAAAAAAGAGTCAAACCATCTGATAAATATTCAGAACAGCTCTCTGCACATCCGGTTTCACAGACATAAAGGAGGCTTTTATCCCTTCCGCTCTATCAAAAGAGGGAATGGACCACTGCAAGGACACACACTCATAGATTCTCAGAGGTTCTGAGCAACATCAGTGTTTCTTAATGGAAAACATGCTAAAAAAGAGATAAGACTAATACGACATCAGCTCTTTGTGTGGCAACGTGGGTGCATAAGATATTTCCTGGAGAAAAAAAAAAGAGAAAAAAAACAGAACAGAGAACAAGTTACAACTGTCTTGTGGGCAGAGGTGCACGAGTAAACACACAAGTGCTTACAGTAAACAGAGCCAATTGTCTTGCTGGTGGCCCAAGGAGGAGTTCGTTATTACGTGCCGGCTTGAACACACCGCATCATCAAACTCAAAGATTTAAAGAGTGGAATTAGAAAACAAAGGAGGAGGCAGTCGAGGAACAGACACCCCTGCGTTATCAGCTCCTCCTCTCTCTAGAGCGACACACTCAAGATGTCACATGAGATGGGATTGGAAAATAATTTAGTTCCTCCACCTGCGATAAATGATCAATACAAGTCCATTTTCCACCATGGGGAGGCTCGTAGTAAAGCACAAGGCCACTGGATTACAGTAGAAACCCCCCCCACACACACACACACACACACACACACACACCCAATCTATTATTCCAAGTTTTATGATCCATCAAACATTTTTTCCCCTACCTCTTCCCCTACATGATTGAAAGACAGCTGTTGTCATCGGTAGCTTTTAGCTTAACTGAAGCTGGGAACCATGGGTTGAATGGAAGCGTGGATTAAGGTGTCCTGCAGGGTTTGCCAGGAGCAGGAGAAGCCAGTCAGCCACGTAATTCCAAAAAATACATCCAATTCTTGTTATTTCTGGTCTTTTTTTTTAAGCTACATTTCAAATGTGTAATGTCAGGCAGCCATGGCAGGCTATATTTTGTGAAGAAAAGAACAAGATACTAAATTAAGAAAGTTATTATAAAACAAAACTCTATCTACCTGCCTACCCTGTTGAGGAGATGGATCCTGCATGCATGGGCTCTTTGTGGCAGAGATGGAGAAACAATCCTTTGACACACATCTGTGATCTACTTTTCTAAATTGAAAGAGCTAAATTTAATCAAATAAGCTAAGGGGGGGGGAAATAAGCAACCACATGAGGCAATAAAATGTGCTGCCACAGCAGCAGAATCAACAGCAGAAGGCAGCAGCATCAAGATTATTATTGCTGCATAAATAAATAAAAAATCACTGAGAATCCAAATAATAGGCGAACCTCAAAAAGAAGCACGATATGAAGTCGGTCTGCACTTGTCAGCACTGATAAACTGTGGACACGGATAGATCAAGGAGGGAAAACTGATGGAAAGACTTTTTTTTTTCCTCTTTTCTTTTGATTTAATTTCCAGCCGAGGGAGCACAGTTTCTCACCAGCAGATGAAGGCTGTGATATGTGGCCAGGACAATCCGATTAGAACTGGATTTAGCGACAGAAACGCAATTAAAAGTTTAAAATGGATAGGGTATTTAAGAGGCGATAAGAGGCGGATCAGGTATACTTCAAAGCCTGCCCAGTGAGCGGTGTTCATTTGAATGAATTATTTCAAAGGGGGGAATTGAAAACCGTGCAGTGCATTGAGAGTGAAAGCCCCTCTAAGAGAAAGAAAGAAAAAAAAGTCAGGCTTTCACCGGGGTGAAAATGTGGAGCGTTGCGCTTTGTGGTGCTGTATTCTTAAACAGGATGAAACGCCTATCTGATTAACCTACAAATAAACTGGCCAACAATTTTAATTCATCTTTAAAAGTCAGTGGGAATTGGAGAATCAGTGTCAGTTTATGACTGTTTTTGCCTGCAGACTGCTCGGGGCTGTCATAGATGAAAACATATTAGTAGATCTGACTTGTGTTAAGATAAATAAAAGGTGCATATTTTATATATATATATANCAGACTGCTCGGGGCTGTCATAGATGAAAACATATTAGTAGATCTGACTTGTGTTAAGATATATATATATATATATATATATATATATATATAATCATCCTCATTTAATGAGAAAAGTAGTCGATTCATATACAACTTAGGCCTGAGCTAAACCTTGAATTTTTCCTTATTTCTCTCCAAGTCTGTCCAGGGTTATTAAGAAACATCCACTGTACCTTTGTCGAGCCTTTATCCATTACAAAACCCGTTACCGCGTTCAACTTTTCCCCTTCCTTCACGCCTCCGTTCAGGCGGTCCTGCTGTATGACCGTGCGTAAAGGTCCGCTCGGTAACGCTGATGCGATTCGGTTCCGATCAGCAGCGTGAACCCGGTGAGTCTACAGAACAGCATATTTGCCTGCATGGGTCCCCCCCCCCCTCCGGTTGTGTGCTGAGCGTCCGTCCGCACCGCTGTCCGCACTTTTTTTTATTTTCTTTTTTCTGTTTTCCAGCTCCCGGGCGCTTCACAACGGAGCCCCTGCGCTTGAACTCAACACCGTCTGCAGCGCATGAGGAGCGAAGAAAGCGGCGGCAGGGTGATCGCAGCGTCCACTTCTCCCCTTCCACACTCTGCCCGAACGCTGAGGACGCACTCGCACCCGAAGTGTCCGCTGCCTGTTCCGCCACGGGCCATGACGGCCAGCTGCGTCCGTCCTGCGCGCTCTTTAGTGGGGAGCTCAAACTTGCCTTTAGTGTCTGCGCAGCTCAGACCCGGACTCCCTGCGAGTTGTTTTCTTAGATGGATTCAGTTGATAGTGCTACGTATGTGCTCTGCTCACCTCTCTCTCTCTCTCTCTCTCTCTCTCTCCCCTCCTGTCTCCCTCCTCCCCTCCTCAGAATAAAGAATGCATCTCCTCCAGCAGCTCCGTGATGGCTGTAAGCCACAGATCCTCCCTGCTGCCCTCACACTGCAGAAAATAGTTTGTCTCTCAACACACTTTGCCCGTGCATACATGCTATTTGCCGGGCCTGTCTTTTACCCCGCGACGACGTCTGAGCTTCCATTTGCATTTTAATCACAAAATCCAGCAGTGGCATTCTCAATGAAAAATCACCACAGGGCACATTCCTTTAATATTCCCAGAGTTAGTTACTGTGGGACTAGCTCGAGTCTATCCTCGGGGTCACAACGTGTCTGTGAAGGGTTTTATCAGCTGTGGCCGTGTAGGAATATTCTTCAGCCTGCTGTAAGATTTTTTTTTTAATGACCACTATAGCCCCATTTCTTTTCAGAAGGGTTTTCTCTTTTTTTAATTACTGCTGGTTAATTAGCCCCCAGTGAAAAGCACAATCTCATCTTTACTTCCCGTACGTTCTTCTAGTGATTTGAAGCATTTAGACACACGCTGACAGCCAAAGTAATTTCATCTGACTACACCGCTTCTACGCGCTAATACTGATTCAGCAGGGCACTGCTGCTCTGCCCACACTCCAAGCCGCTCACGCGCTCACCTCCGAGCGCGCGCGCGCACACATTTGCCTGCATCTAGTTGTATCTATGCTCTTCTCACATCTCCCTGAGCGCGCAAACATTTCTTTAACACAACTAAAAATACGCACGCTCAGTCAGACACACACACACACACACACACACACATATAGGAGATTACCACTGAAACATATCACCTCTCTGTCTCTCACAGGTACAAACCTTCTAAAAGTTTGTAAGAAAAAAAACATCCCAGTTTTACTCTTAGAAATAAAAACTTAATTCATAAACAATTAGAATGACACTCACTAGAGCCGTACCTCCACCAACATTTTCTTCCTTTCTTCCACCTAATCCATGTGCATCATCCTGTGCAAAGTCATAGTTCTCAATATCATAAATATTTTTTTGCATCAAGATCCAAACATTATTTTCAGAGAAACTGAGCAAAATGTTGAAAAATGCCCCCAAAACCTAACAATGTTAAGGAAAGTAATGAAAAAGTCCTGGATCCATCCCTCAGCCAGTCTGACACCAAAATGTAATGTGATCTTCCCCGGCCCGTGTACCATCCCTCCGCCAAGTTTGGTGCCAATTGGTTCAGAATACTTTTTGCATAAACTGACAAACAATCAAAAACACAAACCAACATGGCAGAAGTAATAAGTCAAAGCCTCACTCACTAAAACACTCGCGGTATTGCTGTTACAGTCTACTGTGTCTGGACTGACCAGTAGCTGAATATGGTAGCTAATGTTTGCTAATGTTTGCTAATGTTTGCTAATGTTTGCAAACTTGCAACAGATACTGCTCTACATCTGACATTAAGTTACACGCTCTTACTCAATTCAAAATTAACTTTTACTTAGAAATCAGTGCATTTTTGGTGTTTGATGTTGTGACTTGTGTAATTGGTCGAAAATCAACAAAAAAGTATAAATTTCTGTTTTGACAGTATTTATTTATAGTAGCGATAGCGCCAGTTCTCCAAGGAATTGAATTTGTATCAACTTACGTGCTGCGGCTAAAGCAACAAAGCTAGACTGACTAGCTTCCATTAGCTTGCTAGTTTCCCCTTCCCTAGTGAAACACAAACAAATGTTGAAACGTAATGGGACAGTCACCTGATAGTTGACATTAAGTGTGCTAGTTAAAAAGAGGTGAAAATTAATTATATCAGTGTTTGTAGGCTATACAGGGCTATGACCTGCTCCAGTCAGTGCACCACAATAGTTGACATTTCTGACTATCAAATGTCTGTCAAATGTTGCCATGGCAAATGCCCACGCAGACGCTTCAACGCTGTTTCCCCAAAATATGTTCAAAAACAGTTTTATCCTGTTAAAATCTTGAAAACTACAGAATGTACAAGAGGTATTGTACATGTTTTTTACATATGTATTTGTACATATATTTATCTTATATATGTATCGCTATCGTTTATGCTTCCTCACACAGGAAAGCTGATATAAATTACTGACAGAGGAGAGGAGATTTCAAATTTCAGCTTGACCAAAGAAATACTAAAACTGTCATGTTCTGTGTTTTCCATGTTAGTTTATAGCCAAAGCCAAAGGGTCATAAAGGCAGGCAGGAGTCACAGGAGATCCCAACAGGTCAGCAGGTGCACATCTGCCTTTGATCTCTGCCTTCGGTTGCCAAATAGTTTTAATGTCACTCTTTGACTCCCGGTGACCCGCTCGAACACACATAACTCAACCAAAACTCTCCCAACAAATTACGTAGCTCCTTTTAAATCACCAGCGTTGTTTTACCCAAATCGTGCCGTGCGCTGCGTGTGCCATCTAAGCCTTCTAATACGTCAACTCGTTGCGAGATGGTTTGGTTGTGCTCAGTGTTTGCCTTTCATGTTTAATTTCAGCTGCCACGTCCCGGAGATGGACGGCCGTTCCGAGGCCCAGTCCACAACATTTAATTCTGTCATAAATCAAGCTTCTGTGCACGGTATGAATTATTGATTGAGTGAATTTAGAGGAAACAGCCTATTTTTATTTTCTCCTTGATGGACATGTTTTGCAGTAGTGTACTCTGTTCCTGGTTGGCGCAGCATTGTGGAGTGTCTCCTTCTTTTTGGGGATAAAATGACAGACAATGAAACGGGCGCATGGGGGGGGGGGCTATAGGCAGATAAAGCCTTCATACTGCATGTTAATTTGATTTACTCATTGTTGTCCTGCAAAATAACTGTGCAGGAGTCACACGTAAAATAGCTGGAAACTATTGATTGCATTCAATCAAAAGTGACTTTAAAAATGAAGCTTAATTGAATTGATTTTAAGCCTTTGTAAGTGAAGAAGTAAAATATCTGTCATGTGCCTTCCTCTGGAGGTTTGGTGAGGATATACTGTACATATTAACGGTCTATATTGCATAAAGGCAGAGAAATATTTCAGTCTACACGCTCTCCTGAAGTGGAAATTCCCCTTCTCCGCCTTACCCAGAGACCTTCCCACAGTTTTTGGTGTGGCATATTTACTCTGCACGCTTGTGTACCTTGATAACTCTGCAGATACACATGACCCCAGAGCACATCAAAGCCTCCTCTGTCCATTCGCTCCTGTTCAGACCCCAAACAGAACTAAAGGAGGGTAGAGGGGAGGGGGGGGGGAGGGGGAGAAAAAAAAAAAGTCCACTCAGATATGCAGATATGTTTATCCCTTGGTTATATTCACTCCAGTCCCTGGAGACATCATTAGCTTATCACATTTCTCCCTGCATGAATTTACATCTGGACACTGAAAGGCACTTCAAAGGTGCCAACAACATCAGTGTTTAAAAACCTCCCCACAAGTATTGGCAAGATCTGTGAAAGAACTAACTGTGGGAAACCGCAGTAATATTGCAAATCGCCGAAGCCGTGATATAATCAGGCCCGTCGCTTGAGATTTCAGTGGCTTAAAGAAAAATATGCTGATTATGTTTAGAGTGGGCGATCAATGCGTTCATTAATTTCTAAGGCGATGTAATTATGTTTACCCCCGTCGATTATCAATCTACATGCATCTAATGTCACAGCATAGCTCCCAGAAGAGAACGCATTTCCACAGCTGAGGAAACGAGTCAGCCAACAGCACATACTGTATATTTTACTCAAGGAGTGAGCTGAGAGGAGACGAGGGAGTCAGAGGATTGCACCAGCTCCTGAGCCCCTCTAGACCAAAATTCATTTTTTTCCTCTGCTTTTTTTTTTTCACTGCTGTCTCTGCGCAAGCACAACATGACAGACAGACAATGAAATATACAATATACAGTCCATACAACAACACGCCATTGTAAGACTGTTATTTCATCATTTGCTATCTCCTACATAATGAAATATCAGTGTAATTGGATGGCAGAGTCGTGATAAACAACATTTCACCTCCCCACCTTCTCCTCCTTCTCAAAGCCGAACCCCCCCCCACCCCACCCCGACTGTCCCGTAAAACAACTCAATCCAGCACCGCATCCATCCATCTGAGCCTCCCTAATGTCATGTGGGGTGTTATATGTGGCATTTAAAATGTATAAAAGATTTATTTGTAAGGCTTGAAGTTGCTTTTATAAGAAGAGTAAAATGGTCTGTCGAGCTGTCAAAAGGCCAGCGACACTTAATCACAGTCGTTCCGTGAGTAGCAGCACGGGCAACGCGCTCTCACATGAGCATGTGAATTATAGGGGAGGCAAAGTGAATGCAGGGTCCTGACTGAATGCTGCCCTGTGCTAATGCCAGGCTGTAAAAACACTGACTTGACAACAAGCAAGCCCCTGTAGTTCTGCTGAGGGAGGGATGGGGTGAGAGAGAGAGAGAGAGAAAGAGAGAGAGCGAGAGAGAAGCAGGAGGAGGAGGGCAGGAGGAGACAGAGATAGAAGAAAAGAGATAGAGAGGTTTGAAATCACTAAAAAAAAAAAAAAAGGAGAGGAAGAAGGAGAGAGGCACTGTGGATCACTGCTGTTTTTGACATTTGGCTGCTCCGTCACCCTCGCCCTCCTG